AATTGTTTCGTGGTTAGAAGGCCTGTCCAAGATATATTGGCGGAACTTAAGCTTCTAGCAAAGTTGTCGAAGCCTCGGAGCAAGTGGAATTCATCAAAAAGTTTTGTGGTGGGGCAGGACCTTAGTCCTTAAAATAGTTTTTCTTCGTCAGGTGGCAAACTCATGTCTAATGGGTTTACAATGCCAGTGTCATTGAATATGTCCATAGATGGGTGCTCGTTTGTACTGTTAGTGGTTTCCTGGGTGGTGTTGTTGTAGTGGTATGGAATTACCTTAGGAAACGCGGGGTTTGGGACATGGTCTCTTTTGAGTTTATGAATTTTTGTGGTCACGATGACTTGGTATTTATTCTGTTCGAATTCTGTTAGCAGGGCGCTTTTCTCGTTCAATAAACTTTTGTGGCGGATAATGGTGTTGGTCATAGCGACCAATTTCTTTACCTGATTATCACTGTGATTTAGAGCGATTTCTGTTAATTTGGGAGAAGCATAAAGGAGGACATTTTCCCATGTTATTTGGTCGTGTCCGTCTATGTTTGTAGCGGCTAGTGTGAGTGAGAGTGTCCTACCTTTGGGGGCTATTTTAGCACCAAGGTACACTGGCAATGTTGATTTATGCATTTCATGTCTAATTTGTTTGTCAGTGAATTTTCGTACTTCAAGGAAGGTGGCACTAAAACTGGGAAGCGATGAGCTGGACTTACATTTTAGATGTCAATCTTTTTTTGGGTGCGAGGATGACACTGATTAAGTCCGCAGATTGTAGTTATGTCCGGTAGGCCTTCATTGTTGTAGGGAGGATTTCGGCGTTCGGCTACCTGCGAGCGTTGAGTGCTGGAAATCTGTGTTTGCAGGCAGTTCCGGTCCCGGGGTCTACAATAGAGGGACGCGGCTTCGTAGTTCGGGAGGGTTTCCTTTGAGAAGTGGTGTAGTAGTGCCGTCGTTTAGTGCTTTCGGTCTCGACGTCCGCAATGACGGAATGCATGTTGCTTCCAGCAGACTTCCCCCCTAGTAGTGGTGCGCTGTTGAAGATGGTGAGGGGGTGCTTGTGGCTCGCGGGAGTCACAGTTTCGCCGACCGTCGGGAACTCGTCTGTGATGTTGGGTGGGTGCGGGGCTCCTGCAATATGTTGATATGCAGAGTCATTGTCATGGGCTCCCGGAATATGTTGGTATGCAGGGTTATTGTCATGGGTGTCTTGTTGTGATGAACGAATATTAATGGGAGCTATGGGTTGAGTTAACCACCCCGTGGTAGCTTCGAGGTCTCCGCGACCGAGTGCACTCTAGAGCGTTTAGGCAATCAACGCGACCCCCATAAAACTCGGATAAAGCCCATCCGCAGCATGAAAGCTTCTTGGTGGCAACTGCTAGAATTGGTAGTCAATGTATGACACCTTGCTGGGTCTTCGGCCTACAGTCCGTTGTCGCTAGATAAGAAACTAAGCCATGCTGTTCAAAAATGCCTCGGGCAAGCGTCAGGGTGGCCCTATGAACTAAACAAATGTGGCGTTGCAAAGGCTTGCATGTAAATGAAAGCTGAATATTGCATCGCAAATTATCAAAAAAGATGATTATTCTGATACCATGTGGCACATCAGCAGCATCCACCACAGAATATACAACTCAAAAGCTGCGGCATTTCGCTGCTGAAAATCTTGCGAAGTCTAAGGTTTGATCCCTGATTTTGGCAACCCTTATTCAAATTTAAAATGAATACAAAAAGACACAAGATGCCGGCTGACTGAACTTAGATAAAACTTGATTGACGATGGACATGTGGAGTTTAACATCCCAAAACCACCTTATGATTATGAGAGACACCGTCGTGGAGGGCTCCGGAAATTTTAACCACATGGGAATATTTAACGAGCACCCATATCTGAGCACATGGGCCTACAGCACTTTCACCTACTTACATAAAACTTGCTCGTCGAATAATTTCAGGTGGTTGACATGAAGACTAAGCCGAACGCTTTATACAGCGTAGACTGCATAGCCCTTGTGTTGTCTTGGTACGCTGCATTGCAGTCAGCTTACGAAATCCTATTTTGTGATGTTGGAGACAGCTTGATGAGAGAAATGGGCGGAAGGTGAAAATTTTTATTCAGCTTGTTTCCATCGAGTCACAGAACCTTGTGCTCAACATTCGTCACTGGGTAATGATAAACACTATATATAAGGAGCTGAAGCGCTGAAGTAAAACGTGCTCGCAAATTCAATCGAAACTCAAAGCAATGACCAGGTAATCAGCTGCACTGTCATAATAAGTTATAACTCTTATGAGCATGACAAGTCTTTGGGGTGCTTAGTAAGTCAAGCTTAGGAATGAAGAATCAAACGAAGCCTGTCGTGCCCTAATGCATAATCACAAAACCGAGCTTCAAAGAAGTGATTACCTCAGCGAACTGATTAGCATGACCATGAAATCATTTTAGGCTCCACACTTCTCAAGTAACACAATTCCGAGAACTTTTATGCGGAGTGCGAGCGCTTTTCCCAAAATTCACTTTATTTCCCAGAGTTTGCGTGCTTCTCGATATAATATGTTAGAGCTCAATCATATTTAACTTACTGCATTGAGACAATGCGAAGGTGGTCATGGCACGGACACTAAAAGGTGCATCCAGATTAGACAAAAAAGAAGTTATCTCTAACAAAAGCATTACCAAACTCATCTTTGGTGTTGGTTTTTACTGGGCCCGCATATCACATTGATTCTCTGCCTAACTCCCCCTCTTTTTTTCTCCGACTAAGGTTATCAAATATGGGGAACATTGTCCGGATCAGTCATGGGTTAAAAGAAAAACAGAATAATCTTTTTTTGTTGCTCAGATCGCAGAGCAATGGTGCTCGTAAAAGTATTGGAGCGCTTGCAGCTGCCTCTCATACATCGCCTATCTGACGCTCTTCTTGAGAGCCCCTCGTGTTCTCTGATAGCGCACACTCACGCTGCCCGTGGATGATATGAGCGACAATGGTGTGTGTGTGCGTGTGTGTGTGTGTGCGTGTGTGTGTGTGTGTGTGTGCGTGTGTGTGTGTGTGTTTGTGTGTGTGTGAAAGCTTCGATTAACGCGTTCTAGCTTGGCATGACTTAAGAGTGTATACCGAGAAACGTGGATATGCGCTCGCCGAATCGACAATGTCTTTTCACGAAGCCCAAAAATGAAGGACGTTGGCCTGGTATGTTTAGCGTCAAAATTATTCAGTTTTTTTTTCTGCCAATTAGTTTTATGATAAGAACTGTCATTCACAAGAAAAACGTTTGGCACATTTCAGGCACATTGCGATGCGGGATATGTCATTACTGAAGCTGGCTGACCAACTGAAGAACACGCGTATGAAAAAGAAGCTTTGAGAATTTATTCCGAAATCTTGTGTGGAAACACCTGCACTACCCGCTGTCTGGCGGGGTGTGTGTGTGCCTGCAAAAAGCGTATCTAAAGAAAGGTAATAAGAGGGATGGCTCCACGAGATTTTTGGAGAATTGAGAGAAGCGAAAAATCACGTTTGTACTCATAAGTGATGACTGGGTATGGCGGAGAAATATAAGACATTGTTGCAACGCAGCGTGCATAAAACAATCTGCACGCATGCGCCGGAATTAGGGCCATTGTGTCGCAGAAACACCTTACTCTCTACACCTATGTTCGTAATAGATTATTTCAGGCAAAGCAGATTATGAGCCATAGAGAATAAGTCCAGGAAATGGTGAAGCGTACTTACGTAAGGAAAGTTTTGTGAATTCTTCTGCAGATGGCCTGATTTGGTAGCTGTTGACCCATCTAGCGCCTCATAATATCTACAGTGACGTTATTTTTCATAACAGAGTATGTTGAAGGCTCTAAGAAAATCTTCGCTCAGATGGATGTAAAGATTGTTGGCAGGCGACAACGTGCATCACCTGTAACCTACTGGGGCAGCGTAGCGGCTTTGACGTTTCACTATACTGCACGTGATGTGAGGGTGGGTTCGATTCCCAGCCGCTCGGCCGTGGTCCTTTGGGGTGAAATGCGGGAACGCCTTCGTACCTCAAATGCAAGGGCACATTTAAGAAGCTCGGGCAGGGTTGCCGTTGATGGCTACTTTAAACCACTTTGGCTGTTTTCCTGCCAGTTTGGTGGTGAAAATTTCCAGTTAGTGTGATGTTTATTTAAAGGCTACTTTGAATTTGGGGCTTTTGCTTATTCAAAATGGCTTTACCCTCTTGTTAACACTCCTGTTCTTTCAGGCTACAAATTTGGCGATAGTAATAAAGGACATGGCTACTTTGGATACCTTGTCGCTTGAGTTTTTGTGCCTTCTCAATTCCACCGCACGACAACAATGACCTGAAGGGCTATACCTTAATGCAGAGTACTCAGCAAGTGCCTGCTCGCAATCAAGCAATATTTGGCGCCTATAACACTGAATAAAAATACAAATTTATTAATTTTGGAAATTTACTTTTATGGATGTTGATTGACTGGTGAGAAGTGAGTGGTGAGAAATTGTGTTGAGTTCTAAGATAATTTTTTCAGTGGCAGTGACTGTAGCTAACATGTTTGACATCAAAAAAAAGAAAACAGTTAAAGAGTGAGACATTTTTCCCTACGCTGTAATTAGCGGACAACCGTTCATACGCAGAAAAAGCTACGACAATACGGGCTGGCTTTGGGACCTGTCAAAATGTGGTCACATTTACGAGATCTCAGGGCGAAATTTCTTCGAATATTTAATCTCGCGTAACATCGATCCCAAGCTTCACTTAAGCAAAATGTTAGTGAGCGGAGACGCACTTACAGTTGCGACAACTTTAAAGTGTTTAGTGTACACGCAGACAAGCCCTTGTACACGTATGCTTTCTTTCGTTCTTTTAGTTTTGAGCTGAGAATTTCAGTATGTTTATTACTTACTGCTGAAGTTTCAGACAAATCATTAACAAAGTCTACTATACCAAAATACACACTTGAATGAAAGACTGCACTCATTTGCAATTCATTGGTTATAGGCACTCAATTATTAAAAATTTTGTTTAGTACTTACTGCTTTTTATAAGCAGCCTGGTGTAGCACTAAAAAACTTATTCACAAGCGTTCTTTTTCGCAAACAATTCCCAATATGGCTTTAATGCACTGGATTATGTTACAGAGTGACAAGACAAGCTCATGCTGTACGTTAAAACCACACACAACAGTTTCAAACGTTTCTTACACACTCTTCTCAAGAAACCACCCGTGAAAATCTGCTGGAATTGCGGATGGGCACTCAAACTCAGCAATGGCTAGTTGTTTGAGCGTCTTCGCGTCAAGCACCACCAGAGCCAGCTTCTTCTCATCGTCTTCGTGGAGGAGGGAGCTCAGGATGACCCCGTCATCCTCTTCAACGGCACCTGGACGTGCTACGAATACGGGTTCCGAGGGAAACCACCCTTGGCGTTCCCAGCGCAGCCAGTCACCAGTTGTGACATCTAGCTTGGAGACGAAAGCACAGTGTTCTTCGTCATGAACGTTGCTGAGGCTGTAGGTGTACCTGTACTCTTTCCCATTGCGGCTTTGGTTTATTCTTGGAAGTTCTCCACGCAGCCAACCCTTGGCTAGCTCCTCGGACTCAACTAGCACACGTTCGCCAGGACTTCGATTCAGAGGCAGTGAAAAACGACGCATTTGGCCCATCTTAAACACGGTGGGATTCTTCACCGTGTAGTCGAGACTCCGGATGATGCTGTCGTCGTCAAAGCCTATCAGGTCGACCACGATTTCATCTCCCCGTTCGAAGGCATTGATGTGGTGGAAAGTGAAGAATGCGGCAGATTCGAACACGGTTGGGTAAAGCTCCCCCGTCGTCTTGTTCATTACGTGAAAGCGTACGTTTTTGTTGGCATCAAACCTGAGGGTGTTCATGTACGCCTTGTAGCCCAGATACCGCGAGACAAGCATGGAAGGCACGTGCATAGCCAATGACTGCTCCAACACGACGATCCATTTTTCGGTCATTCCGAAACTGTGAATATACGGCACAGACATGCGAGACTGCAGTGGTACTGTGCCCACGGCTCTGGCGCGGTCCACCGAGCTTTCGGATCCACTGGGAGGAAAATGAACGAGCACGAACGACGGACTCCCGGTCATGCGCGTGCCGATGTTGTACGTCGCACCGTCGTCAGGGTCCAAATGTGGATGGGCGGTGGCGCTGTGCACAGCCACATAGTCACGCAAGTCTTTCTTTTCCAGCGTCTCTAACGAAGCGGGATCCACCCGAGTCATGTAAGGCGTCTCCGTCATGGCGTACACTTCGTCGCCCACGGGCATTACGTTCACCAGAGCGTTGTCCGTGGAGTCCATGGAGAAATACGACGTCAGCCGCTCAAACACCGTCGCACAGGGATCAGAATGAGCCATGGTTCCAAACTCGGAGACGACGATTCTATTGGCCCTCAGGTTTCGCGCGTACGCGTCACTTCGAAGGAAGCAGTTTTGGTAGAGCACACGGCCATCTTCGATGGTGAATTGTCTCAGCAGAGCAGGGCCGTCGAATACGTGGTTGTAGTAGTCAGTCCCAATCGAAGACCGTCCTGGACCGTTCCGTAAAAGTCTTCCTCGGAGCCACGCTGGCAGCTCACCTCGTAGCGCGCCCGTGATAGGTTCTGATACCTCAGGAATGCACGAGCGGCCGTATAACTTTCTGGCATCGATGCCGGCAGCCGCTTCTTCACTCGTTGCCATCACTCGCTACCGTTCGTTTCGAAACGGAAAGATGCACTCTGTAGCCTCGGGGGTACTGCCAGCTGGAACCGTCGCGAGAGCGGCAAGCCTCTGTCAGTAAGATAACGCCGGCGAGAGTGTTGAGCCGAATCAAACGAAGCGGCTCTTTCGCAAACGGATGGGCAAAGGTCCTCGCGAGTGACGGCGACTAGAATAGAAGCCCTTGTATTTCCCCTTCTCTATGCTCTGGAACTTGACTTGAAAGCGCATCGGCGTTATTAGCCCTTCACGCGTATTTTACGGTACTTTGAATCGTTCGTAACTATGTGAGATGGAACACCCTGTTTTGTGAGGCGGTTGCTGTAAACAACCATATGCTATAAAATACTCGATTTTCATATCGTAGCTTTTTTTCTTCTACATAATATCACGCATAAGCCCAGACGATGCTTTGAAGCACTGCAATGAGGGTTATGTATATATAGGTTTTCTGTGTACTAATCAGTTTTTCTTTGTTTAGAATGCCATAATAACTGTCACCATCGATCGCAATAAAATATTGGATTCATTCCAGGGTCGACACTTGCAACGGGCTGTTTAAACAAAAAAAAACACACAAAAACAGGTATAGTATTCACCACAAGCGCGAAAAACTGTATATTTGTTTGTAACTTTACACATATAATCTGGGTGAAAGAAAGAAAGAATAAAAGCGGTAGCCGGTGCAAAGCACTCGATAAAGGTGAAATCATTCATGTTCTGGTAAGCATGTGAACAAGCTAATAGCCCGTCAAAAGGATGTATCGTGAGTTTCTTTATCATGCGGAAAATGGTACATTGGACAAAGTGGTAGCTGCCTTAAAGCGACACTCAAAAGAAACAATGACTTAGTTTACACTAAGAAACACTACTATGAAAACTCTAGTGCCGTACGTTTTGCTATTACAATTTCAGAATTTGCAGCAAAATTCATGGTTGAATATTCATTTTTAAAGTTCGCGCTGAAATTTCTGTACATGACGTGAAAAACTTGAAAATGTATTTGTGGCATTCTCACGACATTGGCTCAATTAAACTGTCCGAAAATTCATACGCCAAGTCTATTGCACCCACAGATCAAAATGTATTTTAAATTTATGGATTAGGAGCTTTCTATGACCCAGTAGCCGCATTTTAAATTTATGACTAGATGGTGTCTCGAGGAATCTCAAGGGGGCATCTCCACTCGCATTTACTTTTCGTGCATTTTCTCGCTTACCAAGCGTCATGTCACGTAAAGCCGTGTTTTAGGGATTGCGTAATTGTACTTTCAGGGATTGTGAAACTATGCGCGAAAACCTGTTTTCTTTTTTAGTATCTCCTTCACTGACGTTTACAGAATCCTGATTACAAGAACCAAATTTGTCAATATCATAACTTATCTACACGTTCCCTTTCGCAGAAGTCCGTTGGTTGTGGCACTCGACTGCTTACACGAAGGTCGTGCGATTTAATCCCGCCTGCGGTGGCTGCATTTCAGATGGAGGCGGAAATGTTTGAGCCTCGAGTATTTAGACTTATGTGCACGTTAAAGAACGCCATGTGGAGAAATTTCCGGAGTTCTCCACTACGGCATCTCCCATGATCATATTGTAACGGATATAACAACCTCACAACCGGGACGTCCTATTTACAAGATTTAATAAGGGCGAACTTGTGCCCAAAGCCAAAAGAACTACACAGTAGCTGGGAGAAAGCAGCGAACGCTCGTCGTCCTCTTCTTCTCTTCTTTTCCGCTGCTCGGTAGCAGCTCGTGCACAGGCTGGGCCGGCTCGTGCCTTCCGGCGGGCTTCATGAGTCGTAGCGATGCCGTCAGCGTTCCTCTTTTAACAACGTCTGCGTTGTACTGCGCCTTAACAATTCCTCGTGGCATTATCCCCCCTCTCAAGCGGCATCGCCCCGATGCTTGCGATGAGGCTGTTTTTTTTTTTGTGTGTGCAAGTTTGTAAAAATGAGGTTGCAGTACGTCAAGGTATTGGGGTGGCTAGGTTTGGAATCGGTCGTAGTACGGTTTCATCCGTACAATGTGTACACGCTCCGTGGGATTGCGTCGCCTCGAATGCAGGTGGCCTGCAGGCTTGACTTCGTAGACGAGGTCATTGTGTCGCTGTACGATCTCGTAGGGGCCAAAATACCGGGAAATGAGTTTTTCGGAGAGGCCTCGTCGTCGTACTGGAGTCCATATCCACACTTTGTCGCCAACGTCATATCGCGTGTCAAGTCTTCCTCGGTTGTAGCGGTCGGCATCGATGCGGTGTTGGTGGCGTATTCGGTATCTTGCTAACTGGCGGGCTTCTTCCGCTCTTTGTAGAAAGTCGTCAAGATCGGGGGGGTAGTCATCTTGGTCTATTGGTAACATAGCATCCAGTGTTGTGGTAACAGCACGACCGTAAACTAGTTCAAATGGGGTGATTTTGGTGGTCTCTTGCACAGCCGTATTGTAGGCGAAAGTGACGTATGGTAAAATTTCGTCCCACTTTTGTGCTCGACATCCACATACATGGATATCATGTCCGCTAAAGTTCTGTTAAGGCGTTCGGTCAGGCCATTGCATTGAGGATGATATGCAGTGGTTTTCCTATGAACAGTGTGAGTCATGTTGAGCAGGCACTTCAAAAGTTGCGCCGTGAAAGCCGTTCCGCGATCGGTGATTACAACCGTTGGAGCGCCATGTCGCAGGACTATTTTGTGTACGAAGAATTGGGCCACTTCTGCTGCCGTTCCTCGTTCCAAAGAGTCTGTTTCGGCGTATCTAGTTAAATAATCAGTGGCCACAACGATCCATTTCTTGCCGAGTAAAGATGTCGGGAAGGGTCCAAGGAGGTCCATTCCAACTTGGCGGAAAGGCGCTTTCGGTGGATCTATAGGTTGTAGAAGGCCCGCTGGTTTAGAACGTGGTGTTTTTCGTCTTTGGCACTCGCGGCATGTTTTGACGTAGTGTTGCACTGAAGCTAGTAGCTTGGGCCAATAATAATGGAGACTGATCCTTGCAAGCGTTCGCGTCACACCCAAATGTCCAGATGTGGGCTCATCGTGACACGCTCGAAGTATTTCTTGTCGCATAGTTGCTGGAACGACAAGCAGGAACTTTTCGCGGTTGGGCTTGAAGTTTCTCTTGTAGAGAACGTTTCCTCGGAGGCAGAACAATGCGAGGCTTCGAGAAAATATACGGGGTACTTGTACGTCAATTCCTTGCAGGTGTTCGATAAGCGGGAGTAATTCTTTGTCTGTACGTTGGAGTTCGGCTATTTGAGTGGTCTCGACAATTCCTACGAACGGAAAGTCGTCTTCTTCTGATAGTGGTGTGTCTGTAGGAGCCCGTGACAAACAGTCGGCATCGGTATGTTTTTTGCCAGATCGGTATACCACTGTTATATCGTATTCTTGCAGTCTGAGGCTCCACCTTGCTAGTCGTCCAGATGGTTCCTTTATGTTCGCCAGCCAGCAAAGCGCATGGTGATCGCTGACTGCCTTGAATGGTCTACCATATAGGTACGGCCGAAATTTACTGATGGCCCAGACGACGGCAAGGCATTCTTTTTCCGTGGCCGAATAGTTTGTCTCTGCTTTTGTTAGAGTCCGACTGGCATAAGCTATCACTTTTTCTTCACCTTTCTGCCACTGTATTAGAACGCATCCAAGGCCGATGTTACTGGCATCTGTGTGTATTTCCGTGTCGGCTGTCTCATCAAAGTGAGAAAGAATCGGGGGGTTTTCTAACCTCTTTCTCAATTCGTTGAAGGCGCTTTGTTGCTCGTTTTGCCACTGGAAAGGCACATCTTCTCTCGTAAGTCTCGTTAAGGGTTCTGCGATCTTTGAAAAATTTCTCACAAATCGTCTATAGTACGCACATAGACCTAGAAATCTCCGTACTGACTTTTTGTCTGTTGGCACCGGAAACCTTGCGACGGCGGCCGTCTTATCAGGATCAGGGCGAACACCTTGGGCGCTGACGACATGCCCAAGAAAACGAAGCTCTTCGAAAGCTAATCGGCACTTCTCTGGCTTGATTGTCAAATCTGCCGAACGGATTGCCTCTAACACTGACCGAAGGCGCTTGATGTGCTCCTCAAATGTAGCCGCGAAGATGACCACGTCGTCTAGGTACACTAGGCAACACTGCCACTTCAATCCGGAAAGCACAGTGTCCATCATGCGTTGGAACGTTGCCGGCGCACAACAGAGACCAAACGGGAGAGCCTTAAATTCGTAAAGTCCGTCCGGGGTAACAAAAGCAGTCTTTTCGCGATCACGTTCATCAACCTCGATCTGCCAGTATCCACTTTTCAGATCTAGTGATGAGAAGAACTTGGCACACCGAAGTCGATCTAACGTGTCGTCGATGCGTGGAAGGGGATATACATCCCGTTTAGTCACAGCATTCAGTTTCCTGTAGTCGACACAAACCGTAGCGTGTTATCCTTCTTCTTGACAAGCACCACGGGAGATGACCACGGGCTGTTAGAAGGCTGGATAACATCATCTTCAAGCATTTCTCGTACCTGCTTCTTGATGACTTCCCTTTCCTTAGGGGAAACACGATACGGGTGCTGGCATACCGGCCTGGTTGTCTCGTCCGTTATGATCCCGTGTTTTGTAATGCTCGTGCGCCGTACCTTTGAACTGTTGGAGAAACAGCTGCCAAATTCCCGCACGAGGTCGTATAGCTGTTGACGTTGAATCTCTGAAAGATTAGGATTTACGTATATTGTGTCGCAGGCATCAGATGGAAGTTTCACATTCGGTGACGTCGTTTCAAGACTGCATATTTCTGTCACTTCACAGAACTCATGAAGAAACGCTATTGCCGTCCCTTTTGCGATGTGCTGGAATTCGTTACCGAAATTCGTCAAGAGGATGTCTGTGCACCCGTTTCGCAGCTGGATAATCCCTCGTGCCACACAAACGCCTCTTTTCAAGAAAACATCCACGTTGCTCTCCGCCACACCCTCGTAGTCGCTGAATGCATCATTATGCACGAGAACCATTATACTGCTCCGTGGCGGTACAGTCACATCATCGTCGAC